TACTCACGCTATAATAGACGAACAGACTCTGAAGACATGACAGAATTCTATTCGTGAGTACATTCCGAAGACCTAAAATCGACAGTATACCTGTGTGAGAGAGATACCGACAGTTGAATAGGGAAACCAAATGCATTAGCAACCGAAGGGAGTCAGAAGCCGGAATCGGGGAAAATCTGCTGACATACTCTGAGGAAGAGGAAGAGGAAGCGGAAGAGGAAGAGGAAGAGGAAGAGGAAGAGGAAGAGGAAGAAGAAGAAGAAGAGGAAGAGGAAGAAGAAGAGGGAGAGGGAGAGGAAGAGGAAGAGGAAGAGGAAGAGGAAGAGGAAGAGGAAGAGGAAGGGGAAGAGGAAGAGGAAGAGGAAGAAGAAGAAGAAGAAGAAGAAGAAGAAGAAGAGGAAGCGGAAGACGAAGAGCAAGAGGAAGAAGAAAAAGAATAGGAAGAAGAAAAAGATGAGGAAGAAGAAGAAGAAGAGGAAAAAGTTAAGAAAAAGGAAAAGATATATGAAATCTTTTGAAAGCTCCAATTCAAATGACCTAGCCCCCTATTATGTGTTAAAACGCTTTCAAGGATACAAACAGGAAAGGTAATGGGAGAGAGCGGAAAAAAACATGCAAACATCCAACATATAAGCAAAGAAATCGTATTGAAAACATATTTGTACTATACACTTAACGCAATACAAATATGCACAATTCCCACACTCACACTCACACATCTATACACAAGTACCTTTCGCACCTTTTTTTGGCCGTTTGCACAATAATAATCATATTAATACCTTGGCGAGCATGAGAAGCACAACTACAATGCATATGTATGTATGTATGTACATACTTCCACTCAGCGGAAGAGGAAATCACTTGCCAAAAGGTGCTGTCGAATAGAAAATGTTCAGTATTAATGTTTGTTTTGTGCTCAGCAGCAGCGCACATTTACTGGAACGTCAAAAAATAAACTGAAAATATATAAAGAAAATAAAACTTTAAAATTATATATACTTATACATATGTATGTATGTAAATATGTACGTAGGTTGAATTAAAAAAGAATCGAAAACCAAAATAGAAGTGGAGATCCTTATGCAGCTGAATCCGTAAGTTTTGTGAAAAATACGCACACACCCCCACACACACACACAAACATTTGGCAGTTTCTTTTACTCTACGAAGGTACGGCATGCCACCACTGCGTCATCCCAAATGAAATTTATTGTCAGCGAGGCGAAAGTCGAAACACCAAAAATCTGCTTAAAGTGTTTGTTCGGCACATTTTGGACTTCAAATTTTTGTAGGCAGGAAATATACGAATGTATTTATGTATGTATGTATGTATGTATGTGTGAGTGCTAAATATAAACTACTCAAGTAGCTATTGAGTAAAGAGGAAATCTTTTGAAAGCGAGGTGAGAAATTGCCAAAGTTCAAATCCAAAGAGAATTCTATGCTGTGTATACTCGTATGTAAGTGTGTGTGAATGCGCTGCTCAACAGCTGTTACGCAATATTATTGTGAGCTGTTGAAGACCCACGAAATTGCACACAGACATGCACAAACATGCACATCCTTATAACACCGACTGTTATGTGTATTGTAACTGTATAAAATGTGTATAAATCAAAAATAGATTGAAGGAAAGTAAATACAAAGCAAGTAGTGCCTTAAAGTATGCTTCTATATTATTTTAAGTGCTTAAGGAATGTTAGGGGAATAAGGAAGGGCTGATTGAATTTTTCGAGTTACGCAATTTGTCACATAATTCAACGCATTCCAAGCAAATATTTAAAATTTTTGATTATACAAAAATTTAATGTAAAAAAAATTTAATTTCCTGTTTGAAAATATGTTTTTTAAAGAATTTAGTTACGACAATTTATACGTTTCATGTACTCGTTTCATGTGCTCGTTTCATGTACTCGTTTCATGTACTCGTACTGGTAAATACCCGTTATTCGATCCGAAGTATGTTAGCACCAGAAGGAGAAGAGTTGGACCCATCAAAATATATACCGATAGATGTCCCACAGCTTTTGGTACATATCTCAATCAAACTTTGCAAGTAAATATATTTTGATAACGTATTAATCATTTGTCGGAACTATACAAATCGGACCACAAGAACATTTAACGGCTATGCAAAGGATTTATTCGGACATGAGAATCAATAAGGGATTTTCTAATAACAGGTGTTATTTTAAATTGGCTGCTTTTCCGGTAGATGTCACTTTGAAAGCTGTGATTTTTGACATTTGGCGAAAAAAAAACGACGAAAGCAATAAAAATGCCACGAATCACATTAAGAATCACTATGAAAATAGTGAAAACCCGGCTGAGACGATTCGTAAAATTAAAACATTTTTCGTCCGTCGTGAAGTAACTCGTCGGACCGCGATACAAAAATAGGTGGAAAAAAAACGGAGCTATCGGATCAAGTTATTGATGTGAAGTATAAAACACGTGCACGTCGCTCAAGAAGAACTGATAATATTGCTGCTCAAAGTGGTGAAAAAACCCCCCGGTTTGTCAATTCCGCGTCATGCTGCGGAACTGGGTACTCCACAAACGCCATTACACTGTATTTTGCATAAAGAAATGGCTCTTAAGGCTTACAAAGTTCAGTTAACACAAGAGTTCAAGCCGGTCGATCATCAAAAATGTCATATCTTTGCTCTTCGCGTATTAGAAATGCATGAAAATATACCACCTCTTTGTCCGGCGAGGTAATTGGACCCTAGTTTTTTGAAAATGAGGCTGGAGCAACAGTTAAGGTTTCGGATGGTATAGATCTAGACAACGTTTACTTTCAACAAGACGGCGCTATGTGTCACACAAGCAAGGAAGCTATCGATCTCTTAAGGGAAAAGTTTTCGGACCGTGTTATCTCTCGATTTCGAAAAGGTGTTCGCAATTGCCCAACGAGATCTTGGAATTTAACACCCCGCGACTTCTCCCTTACAGGTGGCGAGAAAGATGAGGTCTAAATTAACAGACCAATATCGATTGAATACCTCAAAGATAGAATTCGTGAAGCTATTGTGGACATAAAGTAGCCACTTTGCTATTTGGCAATGGCAAATTTCATAAGAAGAATACGGTTCTGTTTTCCATTGGTAATGGCATATCGTCCTCCTTACATTGAAATAGACAGTCCGATTTAATATCGAAATGACAACTCTTATTGGAAATGCCATAAAAGCGCCCTGGCTCGGTGGAGCTCGGTTAAAAAATCGCTTCAGCATTTAGAAAGCGCAACCGGCGAATTGCAATTGTCTTACCTACTCTTTTTCACTAGTTAAAAATTCCATCAATGACACCAACTCCTTGGTTTTTCTTCTTTAGCCTCTGCTCGCCGCCTCGCTTCTTAAGAACAATGCAGCAATGCCAATCTGCATATAATCGAATTTGTATCAATTGGAAACTCAAAACTTTGTTCAAAAACTTTATTCATCTAATTTCATTGTTTGTTATTGTTTGTTTAGTGACAAAGTTTTCGCTTGGTTTTGATTTCGGTATTTAGCCTGCAGCCAAGAAATGGGTTGCCTTGTTAATTGCGGCGGCAAAGGCTGAGCAAGGTCGAATGAAGGAATTAAGTATGCTTTTTGTTGATAAACTTTTTTCATAGTTTTTGTAGTGTCTCGGCTGGAACTTAACTAACGGACGTCCAGCCAACTGAGTTGTCTTGTAAGTTTGCAAGCAAAATTTCTTGACCTTTTCACCAGCTGCTGACGGCTAGTGATGTGGGAACTTCCAGTAACTCTTTTACTGTAGAAATTTTTACGTTATCTACTTTCAATCGAGTTCTTTCCGATATTCCTTCGTCAAGCAGGCACCAATGTAAAAAATTAAGCAAACCCGGGAAGTGAGCACCATAATGTAGAACCCTTTGTTTAATTGTATAGAGTTTTGAAGTTTAAACGCGAAACTCTACCGATGACTTTCAACTACTCAGTTAGTTCATGGTCCAACTCTGCAACCCCAGCGGATGGGAGGATTCATCAATGTCGGGCGGAGGCACTGCTGTTGTTGTTGTTGCTATAGCTGCTACGTTGATTCCGCTTAGAGACAAGTTTAAAATCAGTCTAAGTCACCAAGGTCATCTAACGGGTGGTCAAGGAAATGTGCTGTTTCGACGGTATGGGACCAAAGAGAGAGGGGGGCGCTAGATATGTCTGCTTAAGGGGGCATGGGAATAAGTAGGCGTACGTTGCGTATATTGGGATCGAGTCTGGATAGGTAGAAGTTTAACCTGTTACAGTATCCAGACCTAAGTAGAGCCGGTGTCAATAGTTATCGACGGATAGGTGTCAGTTTTCAAATATTGTGAATAGTCAGTGGACAAAAATGAATTGAAGACCTTCGTGAGGAATTTTGCTCTTACTGGATACAGATGTTTTAGTATTAGTCCAATGGATTTGAAGGTTTTTGCCTTCACGTTAAAACCCTGAACTCTTCTCTGGAAAAATCAAGTGCTGTACTGGCGTATGATGGTTTCATCGGGTTTTAACGTCTCATCGGACTTGAGGACGATTTGAGTGTGGTCCGAAACTTTTTTCTACCAAGGCTACAGGATTTTAAGTGCTAGTCCCACTTCTTCCGCTTGTGCGGATTTGTCAATCGCTGAATATCTAGATCGAGTTCACTGATTTGGGAAATTCCAGGTTCGGCTTGACCGTTGCAGTGGGTCAGCGGGCTTTTTTAAACTTTACTGATATTCGGGAAGTCGCGGAAACGAAGTCGGCGGGACTGTCGATCGAGACAATTATGGACAAATCTTCTGATACGAGGATCAGCATAAGTCGCCACGCTATGTTGTTTATCAGACCTTAGCTTTGCATATTATTTATTTGTTTCGCCTGTTTAATTTTATTATTATTTTTATTTGACTTAAGTTAGTATTGTTATGTATTATGAGTAGATGTAAAATATTTAACTCATATGTACATTTATACTGTTATATGCATATGAGCGCACTAAACAACATTTTTGAAGGCACTATTTCTGGTTTTCCATATAAAATACAATTTGTTCAGGTTTTATTTTGGCTTTCTAATTTACTCGACGTTATCCATTGAGAAACTCTTCAAGCGCATCTTTAGTTTTGGCATCTTCCAAAACAACTTCTTCAAGCGCAAGGGAGGGTGTCGGTGGCACTTCTTCTTTTTGAATTTCTGTAAATATGTATCAGATATTTTAACAAAATATTGAGGTCTTCACTAAATCAAAACTAGTCACTCACTCGTTAGTGCACCTTTTGATTTGTACTCGGCAATATCACCGCGGAATGCATCGTCAAATACTGCTTGCCGTTCACGTTGTATGCGCCGCAAATTTTGTTCATGTTCCCGTATTTTCTCCTGATGTTTCGCAGCCACACGCTGTCGATATGATTCTAATTCCACTGCGAAAAGGTAATTGAAAACAGGTATATTGAGAATTATTGTTTCCTTCGTTAAATGTGGGTATTTCTACGTACCCATTTTCATTTGTTGAAATTGTGATAATTCGCACTGTTTATTCAGCATAAACTCCTGCAATTCACACTCTTCACACAAATCCTCCAAGCATTCCAATTCCGTTTCTATCGTTGCACTTAGTTCACTCACTTTACCCAGTGTTTCTAAACTTTCTTGTAATTTCTCCACTAATGCAGGTATTCCCGACAAACAGGTCGCTAAATCTGTCATATCAACATGTAATGCTGTTGTGCGTTGCCCAATTTGTTCGATTTGAATGGCTACCTCTGCTGCTTTAGTGGCGTTCTTTTCACTTGTTTCATGCAACAACTTCCAGGCATCTTCGTATTTGGCAAGCAAATTACAACCCGCTGCTATATTTACATCCGGCGGCAATATTACATCACTACCAGGCAGTTGACCACTAAAAAAGCTAGAACTGCGGTTGCTGTGAATACTCTCATCTAAAGTGGGTGTAGTGGCGCTACTACTTGGCGTAGAAGTGTAACTTTGGCGATATTGTTGTTGTAAATTGTCGGTAATGATAAGACCTTCCTGGATGACATGGTTAAGTTTTTTCCGCAAGCTACCAAACATTCTGAGGACAAGCTCTTGGCACAATTTATTTAAGCAGAAAAAATTTACAAATTAGCGAAAGTAATATTTTGTAAACAGTTATCAGCTGGCGAAACAACGTCAACAAGTCATTGTAGCGTTGCCAACCATCGAATGGTGACCGATTAGGATTGGGTCTCGGCGCAAGTTCAACATGACTTTTCATATAAATCCAAAGAACGTAAAGTTATTACTCTTAGTACTCGTAAGTTTAGACGGGGATTTATTAAGTATTTTTAACGTAAAAATTTCGTTAGTATGTACATATGTAAATATTTTTATTTATAAATTATTTATAAATTCGTGTTCACAAAATATGTAAATAATTATAAGAAAATATGTTTTGAAGTTACATATTCAATGCAAATAAATTTATTTAAAGCGACCACAGCGTATAATTAAGTTTGATTATAAAAAATATCTTATAGTAGACTCACGGCAAATTTTTTTCTCGGTAAAATTTTGATATCTTTATGATTGCGAGTACATAAAGTGTATAATATGAAAGTGTTATTAGTTTGAGATCAAAGAGAATTTTATAAAAAGAAGTTAAATTACTGCTTGACCTTAAACTTAGTAAAAATTGATTCGGGATTGTTTAAGTTGTCATGAGCCTACCATATTTTCTACAAATTTATTCCTTCACTAACTGGTTCGGTAAGATTTGTTTCAGATTGATTGCTCCTATCTGTTGAAACTGGCGCTAATTCTGTCACAACCGGTGCAACTGCAGTTAATAATCGCGCGGATGGTAATGAAGTGCTTAGAGACATGCTTTTTGGTGCATCCAAATGAGGTGAAGTTAATAACGATTGTGTTGTTTCATCAACCTCCTCTTCACCTGTTGCATTCACAACCTTTTTGTTAAGTTCTGCTTCCATAAGGCTAAGTTTCGCAATAACATTTTGCTTTGAAAAATCACCAACAGATCTATCTTTTGGGACGGCATCCAGCGTTGATAGGCATTCTGCGTTTACCGTCTGTATATCTTCAGTTGGTTGTAAAACTTGTGTGATTCTTTTGGTATCGTCTGCCACGTGACACTTTACTTGGTCCATGTTTTTATTTACGTCAGTAGAAGTTGATTCTGACAGTGAGAACGAGATGTTTGAAGTATTCGCACTCTGGGTAAACTCAACCGTTCTTTCTTCTATCGCTATGCTATCTTTAACATCTGAATTTGAGAGCGTATTTTCTAAAACTATTGCCGGTTCCGAACCTAAAAAGACTTCTTCCAATTGTTTGGTTTCTTCAACATTAGAACTTGATTCCGATATTGAGATATTAATGTTGGAATTTTGTTTAGTCTCCAGACCTTCGGCTGCTTCTTTTTCAACGCTTTCGTTTTCCACAGAATGTAAAGAGATTGTATTACATAACGCTATTAACGGATTGTTTCCAATTGATGGCGAGCCATTCTGCCCCGATACTTCTGTATTTGGCGACTTTTCACGTTCAACTACGAATTCTTGCAATTGTTCTGTATTCAAATGAGTTGAGTTTTGAGTCTCCACATAAGAATTTTTTTGTGCTACCTCATCGTCCCCATTTGTACTTATAATTTCCACTTCACTATCGGAAGAACTGAGCAGCGTAACAGTTTCCGTTAAGGGCAGGCCAATTTCGTTAGTTCCGGTAGTTATTTTTTCTATTTCTACATCCGATTCGCAAGTTGTATTATTCGACTCACTATCGTTGCCAGATTCTGATTCAGACGTTAAACAAATGCAATCTTCATCGCTTTGATGTTGTTCTTCCTCGCTATTATTATTTTCTGTATCCCAGTTATCGTTTGAACTATCGGAATCTAAATTCCAAATAACATCGTTAGAACTGTTACTATAGTCACTTTCCTCTGCTTCGTCATTTTCGTTTTTTCTATTTTTTGTTAGAATTTTATTTTCTGTTGCTTTGCTGCTAGTGGATGAGGCGGATGATAAACTTATTTGCAGTATACCACTTTCCCCCGTTTCACTGTCACTTGATTTCATGGATGAGACAACGCTACAAACTGAGGTTTTTTCTACTTTAGCGTCACTAGCCTCGACGTCGCTTGTACGCAATTCCTCTTTCAATGCTTCAATTTCAGCACTTTCTTGCCCAGCCATTAATGCACTATAATACAAGAGTTGCTGCATTTGATGTTGCCTATAACTGTCGGCCATTAATGCCGCATCTAGTTGGATGGCATCATTTATATTTGATTGATAGTACATTTGAGGCACTTCTGCGGGATTTGTTTCTACATCTTCTTGGCACTTTTTGTGCTTTGCCTTTTTACGGTGTTTACTTTTTTTGCTTTGTCTGTAACTATTGCTTGTGCTGCTGCTACTTTCACTACTGCTTCCGCTGCTACTGGTGCTACTGCTACTATCGCGTCTATTAGATTTGTGTTTCTTGCTTTTGCTTTTCTTTTTACTTTTTTTATATTTCTTACGGTTAGTCTTAGGACATTTTCTTCGTTTTCGTGCATCTTTGGAATAACTTTCATCTGCGGAGCTACTCAATACAAGTTCCCAACTACCATCACGGCTCCTAGATTTCTTGGTTCTAGCTAGCTTCTGTCGTTCATCGAGTTCTTTCAACTTTCTTCTGCAATTCGCTTGAGTTCGATCGTTTGTGCGTTTATTATGTGATATCATCGAGTTTAAGGTGCGTCCAAGAAATCGCTTATTTGGCTTTGCTATCGGATTGATCTTACGTTCTTGCACTTGTGGCTCTTTCAACTCTTCCATTCCGCGGACAATTTCTTCAATTGCTAAACTGTAAATATGAAAAATTCAGTCAGTTATCTTATTTTAAAAACTTGTTTGGAAAAATTACCGTGTAAGTTCCGCGTCATCCATATTTTTGTTTTTTCCTTATTCAAAGTAAAATGCGTCTTTCTGTGTGACTTACGTTCGAAGCAAGTTCTTAGCATATGGATTTTTAAGCCACCTTTTAATAAACAATTTACAACCTTACAAATGAGGTAGAAGTGTTAAATTTTTATTCTATTTGCATAAAGATTTCATTTAATCTTTTGGGTAGGTGCTTATAAAATATATTATTCCAAATCAAAAAACTTAAGAAAAGATATGAAAGAAAAAAGCATCAACAGCTGATTTTCAAACAGCGTTGCCTGACTAAATTATTAAATGTTAAAGCAAAAGTTATTACACTGGGTATCATGTGATATGAGATTTGTTTTGAAATTGAATAGCTCGGCGTTATATTAGAAACCGAATGGAAACTTCAGAATTTTATGGACATAAAATTCTGAATAAAGTTCAGCGAGTTGTTGAAGATGTACTGCCTATGCGTATTATGTATTTCGTCACTTTAATTTTTTTTACATAACATCAAAAAAAATTGTTAAAAAAAATCATGTTGTTATTCAAGTATTCTTTAAAAGTTAGTGAAATGTTTTTTTTTTAACTTATTTTCCTAATTGGTTTTTATTTTAAACTTATTTAAGGCATATTTATTTATTAAATTAGTTGAGCTTGTATGCAGATAATTGTTATAAATTACTTAAATTACAAAGGCAAACTAGAAGAAGAAGAAGAAGTTACAGGTCTGCCGAAACACGGCCCTTAGGACCATGGCAGGAATCTTGCTCAATGAAGCATCTATGCCACGAGTGCAGGGGAACACCTCATCTCTAACAAACGTTTACTAGAAGTAGAACCACCACTCAGACACAGCAGAAAGGGACTACTTGACATGAAGAACAGCGTTCAGCAACATGTGCAACAACCGTTAAAAGGGCATTTAACGCAATTCCGCAAGAGTCAGTTAACTCTTTTAAGAACTCTCTTCTTGGGAATGGCGTACTCAGAGTAAAAGCACCAGCCCTAGCAGACGAAGAGCTCTAGCGGCTTCGAGAGTACTGCCTAAAACTGGCGAAAGTTAAATAAATCTAGATATTGTAGCAGGTTAAACTCTTACATATCTAGACACGACCTCGAGATATAAATATATACTAAAAAATTTTTAAATATTAGGAATATTCATTTAATTCATTTTTAACGAATGAAGAAAAACAAAAAGTATTGTTGAACAAAACTCCGTTCCTAGGAGGAGGAGAAGGGATCACAGGAAAGGGTGGGTGAGATGACATTTGCTGCAGGAGGCATTTCGGAAGAGGGTATGATATGACCGCTCATTTATTTGCGATTATAAATACGGTGAAATCAGATTTAACATTTTTGGTTTGGCATTTTTTTTTTCCTTAAAGTTTTAATTTCTTTATTGAATCCTCAATTTTATTGATACAAAAATGTTTTTATTTTAATTCTCTTAACCATTAGTTCCAGTTTCCTGGTTTGTTAGGCATTTTCATTGCACTTTAAATTTATATTAAGGGGTAATATAAAAGGAATTTTAAAAATATTTCTTACAAAAGGAGAAAAACCAGCAAGACACTGCTGATATTTTTCAAGAAATTATTGATATTGCAATTCATTATAAACCACTAAATTTTTAAATAACGCTGTTTAGTCAAATGTTGTAAGGGAAAATGTTTGATAAGTTATTAAACAAGTTATTATTACAATTAAAATTAAATTAGGACATTTATCATTTTGACATACCATTTGAAGTTAATTCTAACATAGTGCACCTAAAAATATCTTTACAATTTGTTTTGGATCCTAAAAGCCAAGCATTGCACTATCTAAGCACTCGATAAGGGAAGGCAATATGGAACGTATTTGATAAAGGTGACATCCAGCTAATTACTTTTAATATCCGCTCAAATTTTATGCAATAATCAGCAAATCACAAGCATTTATATAATTTTATCTACGTTTTAAGTATTTTTTCACATTTTAAAATTAAGAAATTTCTTAGGTGTAGCACCTCATGTGTTAAATAGTAATTCATCTGATTGGAGATAGATTTATTTGAAAATAGTATAGGTGGCATCACTTGCATCTTTCATTTCGCTTTGTGGGCTGTAGAACGATAGGAAAAATCATTCCAAGCGTGGTTGAAAATTTGTCGACTCGTACTCGTTTTAGCTGAGTTTTCACTGCGAATAAAAAGTACAATAGTGCTCAAATTCAACTTTATTAACATTAAAAGTGAAGTAAAATAATGGCTTCATATTGTTTTATAAAGAAAAAGTGTATGAAATAAGTGTGAAGTGAGAAAGCCGAAAAATTCTCGAACGCTTTCGAGCTATCCATTTGTGAGTGATAATCACCGTGGAGAAGAACGAGTAGTGGAAAAAAAGTTGAAAAAGGGCGCTCCGCTGGCAGTTTACAGTAAAAAAAAAAACTTCACCTCGATTCAGAAAAATTCAACACTCCCGCTCACTTCATGTTCCACTCGACGTTCCAATAAAAACGGACATATATACACACAGCCATTTTGCAGAGAGAAATATACATACATATATACACTGCGTATATACGGGCGCGTATTCAGTCGCTACGAGTGATATATTTTTCACTATTTCTTTTAACAGAACAGATAGAAATTGTAGAAATTTGTGCAATTAAAAAAGCAAAGTTATCGAGTTGAAATTGTGTTTACGTGTATGCAATAATTGAGCGTGAAAAAATATACAAGAAAAATGTAAGTGTCGCGTTAGAACAACAATATATATATTTATGTATGTCAATTGGCTTATGATCTATAGAGCGTCTAAATATGTATAGATGTGATAGATATTCGCTGCATTGTATGTGTAAATCTCAAATCTCAAAACCATACGTTTATTTGGTAAATTGTATGCGTGCTTTAATCAGCAAAAGATTATTATTGCTTATTTGCCATATAAAGTCTTATTGAACTCTTCGATATAAAGACGTACGGTGATGGTCGTCCCTGTCCGGTGCTGTGGATGCTAGGTGTCGCCATATTGCGTTTGATTGTCATTACGTTTTATCAATTTTCTTCTTTGTGATATTCGTAGATCTTGTTACGATTTTACTAAATCAACCTCAATTATTTTCTAGATCCTTCGGGTACGATCTCTGGATTGTTAAATAAAAACTCGCCAACTTAATTTGTAGTTTCTTTCGTTATAAAGATTCTATTTAATGTCCTTTATTTTCTCAGTAATTCACAATTCAATTATACTGCACTTTACTATTTATAATCACTAACATCAACTTTCACAATTTACTCTACTTAAATGTAATTCCCAACGCGTTCACTTTACGTCTTCACTGATGTTAACGCCAACCAATTTGCTTTGTCACTGCTTGACTTGCAGCTGAGTGTCGCCTTTATATAGCAGTCGGCTGCTCGCAGACGAAAGCGTAGAAGCATCGAATTGTTCGCTATGGAAGGTTCTTGTTTTATCGTTTCTAGAACGTACGTGTTATCGGCTTCTCTCTTTCATCTGACATTCGCCTCGCATTTTCGCAACAATCTTTTTCATATAAATTTTTGCGTGAAAGAGAACGTAAAGAAACAAGTGCTAAAAGTGTGTGAATAGAAAATTTATTAAATCATAGATGTATTTTTACGACTTAAAATATTTATATTAAATTACTTATTCTACAATTTAAAGAATTATCAAATGTGTTTGTAATGTTATAATTGGTCAACGTATAACGCATACATTTTAGGTGTCCAATTACAAGGGCAAAAATTGACATTTATTATAATGAAGCATGGGTGAATTGTCAATATAAATTTCATCCCCTACATTTAACATGTATGACACACTCTTTGGTGGGTAAAAGTAAAAATTTGGAAAGTGATCTGTTGGATAGAATATTAAAAAGTATGTACATATATAATAATGCATTTCTGTAAACAGTTAGATGTTTGCAATTTCAGTGCGAAATGGGTGAACACAGCCCGTTAAACCTCCACAATATTTTTTTGAGGTTATGATCATTTTACGGCCACCACTTGTTTGTCGTCTCTTTTAATATATTTTACTATTGTAGTGTGTATGTCATGTTTAATTTTTAATGACTTGCTGATAACTTCAATTGGAAAAATATGTGTGTTTTTGGAATTTTTCGTCACGTTTGTTGCAATCACCTAGGCTTATGTACATATATGTATACCTAAAACCAAATTTTGCATAAGGAAATATACATTTCGGCTTTTTCGGGTCTTCATTCAGTGTACGAACGCATTTCCACTTGTTATCGGTAACCTTGTAGTACGCTGCAAGTCTCGTGAGTTGATCGCGCTATACACGATGAAATGGTTTTTACTTCTCTTCATCTTTTTATTACTTATAAAGTGTTAATTGATTTGTTCTCATATTTGCTCTTATTTTTAAGTTTAATTTTCTTAAACCTTGTAAAGTTACATATAATAAAAGTAAAAGGTTAGGATGGCTTACAGAAACTGAAAATATTTATTCATACACTTTTTGATTGTTGTTCTACAAGGAAAGTTATTTAAGCATTAATTACAATTATATGAAAAATGAAAAACCATAATAATTTTTCTTATCTAATAAGGGCATAATTATTAAAGATATTTTCATATTTCAGCTAAAAGTGTACAAAAGGGCTTGAGTGCTTACTGATTCGGCTCGTTGCCGAGTACACATGTTGGTATAATTGCCACACTGCCTCAAATTAGCAAAAGGCTAGCTTAATTTTTTATTTAACGTCTATGCCGCCAATTGGATTGATTTTAAGACGATAGCTGTTTGAAATTACTGCGCAACGCTCCGCAACGGACGACGTTCGTTAATCTCCAAGCGGTTTGCGCAATACAATTCCCGTTCCGTGAGAAGAAGACTGTTTTGAATGGATCCTTTTGTCGGCTGGTTTCAAGAGGAACAGGAGGGTCCAGCATTACGCACATGGTGTAAAATTTGGGAGACCAATGCGCATGATATGAGCCAATTGTTGGAACAACAGAGCCAACAATTACAGCAACTTCAAAGCTCTGGCAATAGCAAATTAAACGGTACTTTAAGTGCACGCGATCGTGATTCTTTACAATTGCTGCTACAGCAAGTTGGTAACGGCGGGCTGCGCAATTCCATCTACAATAATAGTAATAGTAATAACAACAACGGTAGTAGCGGCACAAATAGTGGCAATACATCCAGCAACAATTCAATTGACTCGACGAGTAACAACGACTCCATCACACCGGCTACCACACCAGGCGTAGGAGGCGGGGATAATAATAGCACGAAAATGCCATCACACGATCGTCCAAGCTATTATAATCCATCTCGTAGGAAAATTGGGCGTATAGTAGACAACAAGGCGAGTACATTTAATGTCAACAAATATATGGGTAAACTAGTTATCAAGTACAAAGGTTGTCCTTGGCGTGTGCCGGGTTTCGAGTATGGACGCGGAGTTATCGGCTTACATCAGGAAATTGAACAGTTTTACAATTATGTGTTACCTACGCCCACCGAACACGCTATACGTAACGAAGTTGTGCAACGTATTGAAGCGGTGGTACACTCTATATGGCCAAAAGCGATTGTGGAAATTTTCGGTTCCTTCCGTACAGGTCTGTTTCTGCCCACATCGGATATCGATTTGGTTGTTTTAGGTGAGTGATGAGTGAGAAAACACTGAAACATGATCAATATATTTTTGTAGTCATATACATATGTATCTATAATGTAGTATTATGCAAATATTTTTATTGTAAAGGAAAGGTAAATAAGAATTATTTCTTGCCACTAACAGGTTTATGGGAGAAGGCGCCCCTGCGCACGCTCGAAACAGAACTGATTGCCCGCGGTATTGCTGAGCCACATTCGGTGCGTGTACTTGACAAAGCGTCAGTGCCTATTATTAAGCTTACAGATCGTGAGACACAAGTGAAAGTCGATATTTCATTTAATATGCAATCGGGCGTACAATCGGCCGAATTAATTAAGAAATATAAGCAGGAATTTCCACTGTTGGCGAAACTGGTGCTTGTTCTGAAGCAATTTCTGCTTCAACGTGATCTCAATGAAGTTTTCACCGGTGGCATTTCCTCATATTCACTGATATTGATGTGTATCAGCTTTCTGCAGCTGCATCCGCTCCAAATTGACCACGATAGAGCCAACTTGGGCGTGCTGTTGCTGGAGTTTTTTGAACTTTACGGACGTAAGTTCAATTATATGAAGATCGGCATATCGATTAAAAATGGCGGCCGCTACATACCTAAAGAGGACCTGCAACGTGAAATGATCGATGGTCATCGTCCTTCTTTGCTATGCATTGAAGATCCCCTAACGCCGGGTAATGATATTGGTCGTAGCTCGTATGGTGCTCTGCAGGTGAAACAAGCATTTGAGTATGCGTATATGATGTTAGCTAATGCTGTTAGTCCACTCAACGAATTCGGTAGTAATTGCACAGAACGCACCATCCTAGGTAACTACCATTGTGCCATTAACAATTACTAGGAAGCCGCTATTTACTTGTTTAAATAATTTTTCCTCTTCTTTATTTGCGTTTACAGGGCGTATAATCCGCGTGACTGATGATGTTATTGACTACCGAGAGTGGATACGAGAACATTTCGAGCATCTGGTGGTCCCGCTAACGCCCAACAGTGGCAGTGCCGTTAAGTTCATTCCGTCGATGCTACCACCTGGAGTTGTAACACCACCGTTGCAGCATCAACACTTACATCCACTGGCGCAGCAACAATTGTACCACCAACAACAGACTGTGATGGCGCAACGGTTACGACGGAGTAGCGTCAGCTCTGGTGAAGACTCTGAAGATAGCAAAGAATGTGATGTAGACTCAACGTCATCTCCACCGGTAAGCAATCCACTTATTATAGCGCCGGCAACGTCTGCGGCGCCAACCGCCATGACCTCTTCCGCGAATATTCATACTATGTCTCGTATGGATACATGATGAATAGTTGCTGGTCTGGTGCAGCAGCAGCAGTTACAACAACAACAGCAGCAGCAACAATTACAACAGCAACAGCAGCAGTATCAACAAGCGTCATTGGTTAGCACACAAACAGTCGCCAGTGTGACCACAAACATCGCTGTCAACTCTCTAATCAACACCAGTACCCACGTTCAAGACAGTGGCAGTGTTGGTGGAGCTGGTGGTGTACATGTGAGCGGCCATATCGCTGCTGTTGCTAGTCCACATAAAAATAGTAATATTTGTATTGGTGGTAATGGTGGTGGCGCTAGTAGTCAAATAAGTGTTCGTCAAAAATTTTTAATAAAGCCACCGCCAACAACGCTGCTGCCTCTGCCGCTGCACCAGATCAATATGCAACAACAAGTTAGTCCACAACAACATCATCAACAACCACAATATGCACAGATTACACAGCAAATTCAAAATCATCAACAGCAACAACAGGTCCTACAACCGAGCATACAAATGCACCAGCTGCAACAACAACAGCAGCAGCAACAGCAACAGCAACAACTACTATCTGCAGCACAACCCGCCCAACAACAGCAACAGCAGCCGCCTGCGCAGCAAACGCAACTACCGACCCAACAACAGCAGCAGCCACAGTTGGTGATGCAGCAGCAGCTACAGCAACAACAACAACAAATTCACACGCAATGTCCGCCTCCGCAAAAACAGCAATCGCCGCCGCGACAACAGAAGCAACCTTCGCCGCCGCAGCAGCAAAAGCAATTATCCCCGCCCCGACAACAGCAGTTGCATGCCCAGCAACAACAACAACAGCAGCAAGCGCAGCAAAGATTCTCCGGCCCATCAAATCGCCGTCAATTCTATGTGCCACCTCCAATGCAACAGCAATATCAGCAACAGCAGCAGCAACAACAACAACAACTAATATCCAAATCGTCTTCAACCGAATCGTATACGAATGCGACAAGTACAAGTGTTACTTCCAGCTATGTTGGCAATACCAATAATAATGGTGGCAATAGTAGCAACAACAGCAGCAATAACAATAATAATCGATCACGTTATACACAACGCCCATCGCAGCAACAACAACAACAGCAACAAGTGCGCCAACAACGTGTACAACAGCCGGCAATGCGTCAGCAACGTTACAATGCGAGAGCTTCATCGCCAGCGGGCACGTTATCCCGCTCAGCGACGAATCCATTGCAGCAGCAGCGCGCGACACTCACCTCAGCATCGTCGACGATTTCCATAATTTCCATATCATCCGAGTCTTCAGTGGCATCATCATCATCGTCGAATAGCTCGGAGTCGGCGTCGGCATCAGCGAATACAAGATCGGGTGAGTTTTTGAAAATTTTAATTTTAGTACCAACATTATTCGTTCAAGTAATTTTATGGTCGCTTTTATTAAACAATATGATACCCATTCGGCGTTGCTTTTTTAACTGACACAACTTTTTCATATTCTTGTCACATGTTCTTTCTGCAATTAAACTAACTTTGTTGTTGTGCTGTAGTATATTTCATAAAAACAAATATTTCCTTTATTTACTCCCGCCTTATATTCGCCTTGAAAAGGCCAACGCAATCGCGATGGAAACGAAAGAAGGAAGAAGCACCAATCAGGTAGCAGTAGATCTAGTACCAGCAAATAGAGACGTATCAACAGCATGCTGACTGTATCGTGCAAAAACGTTGGAGTTGCGAAAGCCGTCATAAGCAGCAACGCAGTCATCCAAGCGGAGTAGTAGACCGCAACGCACCGACTGCCTCTGATGATCGTGTGAGATGGGAAATCATTTCAAAAGCACAACGAAGAGTTTGCGCGCACGCTCAGTTTATAACCGATACATACACATACACCCACACACAATATATATTTTAGGACACTATTAGGCATCTAAGAGGTTATGTATATGTTTAGGTACTTTTATGTATATGAAACACGTACACATTTGCAGATATTGTAGGATAACTGGCCAAATATACATATGTATGTACAGAGCAGTAGTAATACTTCATATAGGTTTACGAGCGCGTCGCATAGTACAGTTGTGGTGGACAAGGCAGGGGAAATTCACGGCGAAAGCCAAAGAATGTCGCTAAGAAGTGATTTGTGCTTGCATTATACATACATATATATCTATAATTACTGGGCTGATATTAGTAGAGAATAGTTCATAACCTGTGCCTATTTTAACATAATAATAATAATAATAACTTAAAATATATGCAACAAATGCTTAAACAACAATTAATGTTTGTTGTACAAAAATTCATATTATACACACCCGCAACGATACCCCCCACACACACACACACACACACACACACATGAACGTTGCTGATAAAATGCTACTGATTCAGAATTAGATTTAAATTCAGATTCAAAATGTTGTAAATGATGATAAATACCGTGTGTAATAGGTTTTTGGTGTATTGTATGTGTACATAGTAGAGTTGCCAGCCACAGTAGTAACTAAATTGAATGACAAATGACGTACAAATCCGTTCGGGGACCTTGCTTCGAGATGCTCGCATACGATTCACAAAATGGCTAATCAGCGAAGGGATTTGGGTAAATATGACATGGGCTAAGCAAAGCGGAAAAGTTGAAGTGTCGAGAACGCCAGATATAGAAACAGAGAGAGAGAGGGAGTTGGAGAGTAAGAGAAAAGGCAATAGTGTGAGTGAGATGTATGATATAGAGCAATATCCTTAAAAGTTAGACTTTTACTAGTTGAAATGTGTCAGATAATAATAAGAAATGAAGGGAATGCAAAATGATAAAAGATATGTAAGCAATGCTTACTTAAAATAAAGATAGAAAGATATGTAACAAAATGAAATGAAGATTATGTGCTTGCTATGAATTATGAAGAAAGCTGAGTAAGATCACATGAATAAAAATAATTGAAGCCTCCTCAACCGTTATTAGTATTTAATTACGTTTAATGAATGCTATCAGTTGCTATTGTATATTAGTTAGAAGAAAACAAATGAAATTTTCAAATATATGTATAAATCACATACATATACATATATGTAAATGCTTTCTAAAACAAATAAAATATAGTATGTAAGTTAATTTTTCTCCATCACAAAAAAAAAAAAAAAAAAAAATCTTAATGTATGTGAACCTCAAATTATGTAGAAATATTCATTAAAACTCATAGAAGAAGCAGAGTTCCTCCAATATACATATATGTACATACAAAAAATTAGTAGCGCAGCAAGCAAAGCAGCATTAGTTTCATGTGATATTGAACGAACAAAATTTTATAATTACTGCACACAGCTGAATAGACACACAAGCAAAAGTAAGCAAGCAAACATAATTTGATATACTTTCAACTTCAACTTTTCTCGTTTTGCTAATTGTTGAGTTTAGAGCTGAAACAAATTGAAATGAAGTGAAAATTTCCCTACATTTATAGGTACATACATACACCAATATATAGACTAAGCTATAGCTCTCTATGTATTTTAAATTTAATAACGGCAGGCTGTAAAATGAATTCAAATTTATAAATGTCATGAATTCTTTTTTTCGTTTTTCATAGATTTTTGGACAAATCTAAATATTAAATTTTGCAAAATGAAAAATAAAAAAAATTAAAAACGAATCGAAAGATAGGCTTGAAAGAGAATAGTGGGAGGTGTGTGTAGAGATGAAAGGGCACATAAATGGCATTATGGCAAGCATTTTACTCGTTTAGTTTAGTTTTATTACTCTTTTTTTTTATTCAATCTAAAAACGTTTCGAAAAAGTGAGTGCAAAAATTTAAAACTCGAAAGCTTGTTGGAAAACTGGTATATTTACGTAGCATTTTTTTTTTTGCCTGATATTTCAGTTAACTCAACATTAAAGATCTATAATGGCAAATTAATATTTGGATAAAGTATATGGAATTGATTTATAAGAAAAACTATTTTTTCCTTAAATTTTAAAATGTTTTAAAGTTGAAATTTGAGTTTAATGAGCTTTGTAAAATGTAAATTTTTTCGCTTAATAATTGTATTTAGCACTTTTTAATTTTTTTTTCTATTTTAACTTATTTTTATTTTTAATTTTTTTAATATTTTTTTTTTAATTTTTTGTTTTTTAATTTCTATTTTATTCTTTAAATTTATACTGCAGCAGTTTTCTTAATCATACTTATTTTAACATTTTTACATTTTCCTTTTAATTGTAATGCAAATATACCTTTTGCCATTTGCGCCTTAAGTTTGTGCGCCCTTTCCCGTATACGTCGTTAAATTGCCATATTTCAACCGTTTTGTAGGTTTGTTCAGCTTAGTTTGCATATGCCGCATAATGTTCATCAGGTGTGTGTGTTTTGTTTTTTTTTTTTTTAATATTTACTTACTCTTTTATTTTTATTTTTGCATTAAATGATTTTTTCCACCACTCCTGGAATATTGAATTTTAGTTTATAGGAGGGAAATCATTTATAATCCCTTTTGTTTAATTTGCCAATAGGCGAAAGGCTACAAAACACCAAACAGCAACGACAAAAGAAATATACAAATCAAAAAACCCAATACCCTAACCGAGTTACGTACATGCATACTTACATATATATATATATAAATAAATAAATAAATAAATAAATACAGTCGTTAATTTTTACACATTTCGTTATTTGCTAAGTTTCACAATATTAATAAATATATATATATATAAATTAAAGATTTTTACTTAACATAAGCAAGCCATTAGCTAATTAAGTGCAAGAATTGTTTATAATATTATTACCATGATTATTATTATTATTAATATTAATTTTCTCCAAAACACAAAAAAAAAATATTAAAATTATACAAAAATTTATGTATATATATGTATAAATGAAATTTAACGCTTGTGACATATAGATAGCTATGTATAAACATATGTATGGAGTGATTAAACAATCAGCGCTGCAACCTTCCGGTTCCGCGGAAGCAACCTAACCCAGTTGTTATGCGTATATTTATAATTTCCACAAGAACCTTACCTAATTTTGACTCAGCAGCAAATGATCCACTCCGTTAATAATTTATACATATATATTCATATTAAAAAAAAATGTCAAGAAAACAAAATGTTGAAAAAAAATTGTTATAATTAATAATTAACTATTATTACGTTTGTACAAACAAAACTCACTTTTTTTTAATTTTGAAATGGAATTAATTCTTTTCCCTTTAAGATGATCGATATTCGAGTGAAGATGTTGTTGTTTTGTGCTATAACACAGACAAGAACATCTGGAAAAGGTAGCAGAAAAAGTAATAATGTGTTAAATTGCTTTTAATGTGTGTATTTGTGCATATTTTCACTTTATACATTTACGTTTTTTTTTTGTGCTCTATAAAGACTTAACCTCCACCCATACCAACAACAAGTTGAGATTTTATGCAAGATTGCATGAAATTATATGGAGTTAGCTGAACTAACGAAATTCACGCATATATTTATTAGATATATATGTATGTAGGTACACAATCGAACAATAGTATTTTGCAACAGAAATCAAAAACAAAGAGAAAAACACAAAATATAACTGAAAATGTGGTAAAAAAAAAGGCAAAGGCAAGCTTTCTGTCGCACCGTTACGTAATAGTGGCTGACAGCTGTGCAAGTATGTGACGAATAAACAAAAAAGTTTGGAACTAGAAGTATATAATATTACTCTATATGAATATTTGAGTAGTTTTTCTTTTTTTTTTTTTGTGAGTTAAAGCTGAACTCTTCGAGCATAGACTTTGAGAATGAATTTTCCGCTGTGCAATTTGCGTTTTTTTTTTTTTTTTTGTAATTTAAAATTGTTTTTCTTCTCGCTCTACCTTTTATATATAAGTTTTTTTTTTTTTTTTTTTTTTTTTTTTTTTTTTTTTTTTTTTTTTTTTAACATAAAGCTGTAAAATACTTATGATTATTATAATTTAATTAGTATTTAAGTTAAGCTGTGAAATTCCGTCTAATTTAATTTAAGCATAAATTTTAAGCATACATACATACATTTATCTACACATATTTATATGTAAGTGGAAAATTTATGTACATACATACATATATGAGACAATAGTAGTAGTTTTTATTTTTAGGTACGAATCGTAGCCGCTAGTCAAAATCGGTATGGAGTAAAAAAGTTCAACAAGAAATTTTCTTTCTTTTTCTCAAAAGCAAGAAACACTACGGCAGAGTTGCGTTTAGAATATGCAAATTTTCCCTTATTCTTTTAGTATTTAAAAGGTGTGAATTAAATCAAATCCTCGAGAGTTAAGAGTTTGCTGAAAATTTACAACCATTTTGGGAAATTTAAAAATGCTTTGGCGTATATTTGCGTACAGCCTGTTTGTGGTTTGTGTGTACGTTTCGATATTTTCCCTAATTTTTGCTGCTAAAGTGGCATTTCTCTTAAACTTTTAGCGCATTTTCATATTAAAATATTAATTTTATCATTGTGCACATTAAATACTTTTTTTTTAAATAAAGTTTACTTACTATTGCCATTTTTTTTTTTTAAATTAACGTTGTTGTTGTGATTTGTTGTGTTTGATAGTTAACTTTGACTGGTTGTAGTGTTATGTTTTTGGCAAATAAAAAAATCTACTTATTAATAATTAAAATTGATCATTAAAAGTTATAAAAATTAATTCAATAGCAAAGCAAATGATTTCTTTAAAAATGTTGCACGTTTATAATAACAGATTTATAATTTTTTTTTCTCAAGTTTAATTTTTTAAATGATTTGATTTCTTTTTTACCTTTCCAATTAAATTTTTTATTTTGTTTATTTTTTTAAATTTTTTTTTATATTTTATTTAATTTTTTTTTTATTTAACTTTTTGTATTTTATTATTTATAATATTTTTATATAATATAATATGAAAATTAAAATATAAAGGAAATAATTATATTTTAATTTTAAAAATTTTTTTTTTAATTTTCATTTTTTTTATTTTTTTTTTTATTTTCATATTTTTTTTTTTTTAATTTTTTAAAATTTTGGCTTTACGGATTTATAAATTTTTATTCATATTTTTTATAAATTAAATTTTTTTCTAATTCATTTAAAAAATTATTTTTTTTTCTAATTCATTAATAATTTTTTTCTAATTCATTTATAATTTTTTTTCTAATTATTATAAATTAAATTTTTTAATTCATTTATATAATAAATTAAATTTTTTTCTAATAAGTGTTTTCACTTTTTTTCCTTTCCTTTTTTATAATTTCTTAATCAATTTATTTTTTTTTGATTAAATTTTGTCTGTTCACATACATTGTATGTATATTTCTTTTTAATTATTTAGTAAATATTTTCAAAGTAACCGTTTTTGTTTTGATTACATTTGAAGTTTTTTTGAAATTGTTCAAATATTTTCAAATAACTTTTTCAATAATGTTTTTTTGTAATTAATTTTTTCCAAATTTAGTGTTTTTTTTTTAGTTTTTTGTAATTATAACTAATTTTTAGAGACAAATTCTAAATTTTTTACTTATTTTCCAGTTCTTTGTGCATACTAATTTCTGTAAACTTTTTTTAAATCAAATTTTACAAATTATTTTTTCTAATTTTTTTTATGTTTTTTTTAAATTTGTGATTTTTTTTTAAATGTATTTACTACTTTTTAATTTTTGTGATTATTGTTATAGGTGTAATTTTTGTTAATATTCGATTTATTTTCTTTTAATATTTGAAAGTTTTTTACTTTTAATTATTATTTTTTAATTTCTTATATGTTTTTTTAAATTTTTTATTTTTTTAATGTATTTTTTTAATATATATTTTTGATTTAATTCTGTTGTTTTTATATATTTTTTGTGATTTTTTCTCAGCTGCTTTTTATAATATTTTTTCCTGATTTTTTAAGATTTCTTTTTGAAATTTTGATTTTTTTGGTATTATAATTTTTTGTAATAATTTTTTTTTTAAATTGTTCTGGAGCCAACTTCTCTCCTAGGCCACCTTTTGTGTACTGTATTTTGCTTCGTCTTCATACCCATCCAACTAACAATTACAGCAACAACCACTTAAATTTTGTAAAAAAAAAACGCAGACCCGAAAGTCTTAGCATTTTAAATAAATTCTAACATTTTAAAAGATAATAATAATATGTATGTAAATTAATATAATTTTAGCGGCAAAAGTTTCCTTCATAAAATCAATTTTAGATAAAATTTCCCAAAGCATGATGCACTTACATATTACCATGCCAAACGCTATGCTGAATTAAAAATCAAAATAATTATTAAGTAAAACAATATATATTTTACTGCAAGAGTCCAGTTATTAAAACACATACACATGCGCAGCTAGGATTCAAATAAAAAAACTAAAAAAAAACGCAGCTTTAATAAAAATTTGGAAAATATAATAGTAAAATGAATTGGCTTGACGCATGCAAGATGTTCACACTCAGTTGGGTAAAAAACAGAGAAATGATAAATTAGGGAAATAAACAACAACAACAACAACACGAATCAAGGCAAAACAAATGCGAATGCAAACTCTTCAACATTAGCTGTAACGTAAAGTAACGTAACGTAAAATAACGTAAGGTGTAAGGTAGCATTTCATTACGTTTAGTGTGTGTGTAAAAACAAAAAAAAAAAATGAAAAAAAAATAAAAATAATATCGAAAAGAAGAACAACAAATATTTACTGAATTCGTCAAACAAACTAGAAACATTTAGATGAAATTCCGAAGAGACATCACCCCCCAACAAACATACGAGCATACATATGCATACATAAATTAATAACTCGAAAAGAATGTTACTTACATACAAACATACATACGTACAAGTGAAACACATATTACTACTACCACTACTACTATTACTACTTATGATAACAAGAAAAAGTGCAGATATAAGTATATACACGTACATGTATATATACCTACGTACATATGTACATATATCAGATAGATATAGATGTAAATGAAAATGAGAAAAAAAATAATATTTTTTCTCGCACTCGATTAGCAATAAATTAACTAAATGTATGTATGTACGTTTGTGAGTATGTAAACACATATGTATGTATGTGTGTGAAAATGGTGTTGATACTATTTGATGCATTAATAGTCCAGCAATACAAAAAAAAGGAATTTTATTTTGACGTCTTAAAAAAAAAACAAAAACAACAAACAATAAAATATGAATTTTTCCCTTCACAAATACCCGTTATTATTCGAAAATTCAAACTCAAAACCACACCACACACCTGCGCGCGCATAAACACGCAACAATACAAGTCGACAAGTGAATATTTATATACATATAAATACATATATATATGTAGATAATAAATATATATATATATATATATATAGTTTAATTAAAAAATAGTGCGAAAGTCGAAGTATGATGAATATAAAATAAAAAATTACAACAAAAATAATCGTTTATGAATATATGAAATTTGTAATTTTACTTATATATATATAAATATATATATATATGTATAAATATAAATATAAATAAATATAATATATATATATCTACATATACATAATGAAAAGCATTAAATATATTAATATATAAATATTAGTTCGTGTAATTTAAAATTTTTATTTGACGTAACTTAACGTAAAAAAAAAATAACAAAAAACATTGTATAAAAATGTAAAATTCATATAAATGAAAATACGCTAGAAAATATTCAAATAAAAAGAAAATAAGTTTACCAAGTAAAGCGTAACAAAAAAATCAATAAAAGTTTTGAAAAATCACCTAATTATTTTAGGTATACGTAAAAACTAAACGACGTCTTTTACTTATCAATACATATGTACATACGTCATACGTTTATTGGGTGCTTGAAAAAAAGCAGTGGACGACGATTTTTAGAATACAAATTTCTTGGGCTCCGAAATTCCTGAGATAATTGAAGAGAAAAACTTACTGTCTGGTGCGATCTATGGTCCGGAGGTGTGATTAGATCTTACTTCTTTGTAATTGAGCACGGCGAGACTGTCACCGTCAATACGGAGCTTTATGGTCGTATGCTAAGCAACTTTCTTTGACCTGCAATTGAAGAACGCGACATGGACTATATGTGATTTCAACAAGGTAGTGCCACAGGCCATACGACAACCCGAGCGAATATGGCTTTATTGCGAGAGAAATATCTCGGCCGCGTCATCTTTCGTCTTAGCGATGCCAATGGGGCACCGAGATCGTGTGATATGACACCGGGGCTACGCGAAGGATCGTGTTTATGCGGATAAATCCTTAACTCTTGAACACTTGTAAACCGACAGTCGTCAATTTATGACTGCGAAAAGTGGTTGAAAATTACCCTAAACGGATCGAAGTTTGAAAAACTTGCGTGGCGTTCATTTGAATTCAAACGTTAGAATAAAAAAAAAATCATGAAAAAATTATTTTAAACTCCTTTCATTTGATTTTATCTTCGAAACTGCAAAATGGATAGCCCTGTGCATACAGATCATTAAAGAGAAAAGGTCTTTGTACTTGAAAACTGGCTCGAAATACGAATGGGGCTTGTAGGGTGGAAATAAAAAATTAAAAAAAAAATATTTTTCGTACCAATATATACATATGTTCTCCTGTAAGACTGATACATTTTTCGGATCTTTTATTTATACCCTCAAAAAATATGTATTCTCCTGATCTTCAAAATACCCTGAAACTGCGTCCTTGACTTCATCATCGGTGATACATTTTTTATGCTTAGTTTTTTTTTCATTCTTGGAAAGATGTAGTCATCACTCAAAACCAGATCTGTTCTGTAAGATGAGTGCTTCGAAATATCGTAATCCATCTAATGCCGGGGGCGCGCAAAAGCGACACTCCTTTAGTAAATTTTCTCCGCATTTTCTCTTTTAATTTCTTCTTTTGGTCCCTCCCTAATATTGAAAAGTAGTATTCAACACTTATATAAACATCTTCACCGTTATAATCGATCAATCACAATCCTTTCGTGTACCAAAAGATCGTTGTCATGAATTTCCCAGCTGAGCGTCCCTGCTTTAACTTCTTGGAATCGCATGTGCGTTTTTTATGCCACTGAATGGAGCCTAGTTTCGGCCCAGGTTCATAAAAGCATGAACCCGAGTTTCGTCTCCAGTAACAGTTCGGTTTAATGCATCATCCTTCTTCTCATTGCATAGGCCCAAAAATTTACGTAAATACTCTGTGCACTGTTCTTTTTGTCGAGGCGGGAGCTGACCTTAGTTATGCCAAGATGATCCCACAGGATTTTAAAAATGATTGCATCAGATAAAACAACCTTTTTTGCGAGCTGCTCCTGGATTCGCAGGCCTTTCAAAATACTGCGTTCAGCATCGTAAAAGGTTTTAACAAAGGATCATCTATAAATAATTGCTAGAAGTAGAACCCCCTCAGAACCATGATGGGACGTGTTATAGCCAGATCTAAAACGCCATTCACACACAATAAACACCTCTCTTAACTCCCTTCTCATGTGTGGTCTAATTTGAGCCTAATCGGTATCTACTGCAACAAACAGCTCGAGCTGCTTCGTGAGACTTGAGTCTCTTAGATAAGGGAGACTAAGTTTTTACTTAGCCAGACTCAAACCAAAATGTTTTCAGTTTACCTTAAGTCACCACAGGATACTAACCACCTCTTCCTTTTCCAAAATGTTTATTATTCTTGACCTTCCGGCAGATGTTCTCGATGACATCAACTGGCTCCTAAATATAATTGGATAATATATACAACAACAACTGTAGTCTAATAATAAAATTAGAGGACATTAGGGAAACACCTCGAGCAGCTCTTGGTCTTAATGAGTTTTTGCGTTTTCAAAGTGATTCACTAGAAACGATTGGGGTACTTCCTTAGACTTCAGAAGTGGCATCAGCTTTTTAATTAAATCTCAAGGTTAAACTGCTGGACTTCCCTTTAATTATTTTGAAGACGTCATGAAAACCCAGTTCTTCGAGGCCTTTCTTTCCTTCCAGGGCATAAACTTTTCATTACGCCGTGATTGGCTGATGTGCATATAAAATTGTTCTTAATCCTCTTCAGAAACGATTTTCAATAAAAGGTGTTTCTCTTTCCGCATGTGGATTTTAAGAATTTAGCTTTATTATAGAGACAAGGGTTGGCCATTATGTTTTAAAAATAACCGCCGCAGCTGGCTCGAATACTTTCCAGCCGAGGGTCCTGAATTTCGGCCACTTTTCGAAGCAATTTGGACTGTATGTCAGCTATAGCATGGCATGGACAACCAACTTCACATAACAAAAAAAAAAAAAAAAAAAATAGTCCAGCGTTATTAAATTGCACGATCTTTGAGAACATTTTATAGACCCACGACGCGAGATAATGCGCTCACCCACTTCAATAAATCGATTGCTTTAATGGGCCATCTTGTTGGAATCAAAGGTCGTCCACATCACGTTCCTCAAATTCAAGCACGAAAAGGTCATTAATCATGGCTCTATAGCATTTCATCTCGTTCTGATTCCATTCATTGAATTCGAGACGCATTTAATCGTCGTCCGGCTGCAATTCTTTAACGAGTTGGATTTTGTAAGCCTTCACACCAAGATTCTTCCGCTAAATCTTCCTTAAAGTTGATGGTTACAACTTCAGTTGATATGCGCGATGGCAGATGCACTCATTCGGGACTTTCTCGAAGCTATTCGAAACCAATACCCTGTAGCGTCGTCGGTGCGCACTGTATGGTATCTCTGAGGATGCGTATTATCTACAAGAGTAAACGTAGAGCGAAACCGGTCCTTGGTTACTCGAACCACCGACTCTGCTGGGCGAATATATCGAACGAATCTTGGACGCAGCGTACAATGCGTCGCGCAAACCGAGCCATAATTTTGGTTATTATGAAATTTTGTTTCTTATGAAATGTTAAACCAAACTGAGTCTAAAACAAGTCACTGTTTTCCAAAAAACCAACTCCAAAACAAATTTTGTCACACACCCTTTAGTAGCAATTATTTCGCTGTTTGACCCCTAAATAAATAAACCTTCCCTTCTTCAGTATGAAAATATAATGGAAAGTGTATTTTCACAAAATAAAATTATCGTGTGCAAGAGAGGACTAAATAATTTCATGAAAACCCAGTGCTGGATGGGGTTTTATCGTACACCAATATTGAAGTATAACTTTAAAAAGTAAAATTAAGGCTAATGTATAAAATGAGTTAATGCCGATTATAAATAATCTTTTTCAACTATTTTTTACTCCTCCACAGCAACTTTCAACCGTTGACACCAAAACCACTCAACTGGGCTATCGGCCATACAATATCCTCTATCCAATCAATGTACGCTGAAACGCGTGAGTAGACGCTCGGCGGAGCGCCACCACAAGCTTGTCCGAAGGAGGTTATGCCCACCACATAGGAATAGGTGATGTCACGATCGACTTTCATAATCAGCGGTCCACCGGAGTCACCCTTGAAACAGAATATTTATGAAAAGGGAAACTTAAAATTAAATTTAGGCTGCACACCTGACACGTGTCGCGACGATTTTCCGGATCACCAGCGCATAACTGTGTATTCGCCAGACCCTGCTGCAAAATATTCTCATCTGGCATATAATAACGTTGGCAGACATCATTGGGCACCACGAAAATGATGGCCTTCTGTAAAACATTGGAGCCGACGCCAGCTGGAGTATGAAAAGAGAACAGTTAAGAGAATACCAACGTAAAGTTTAGTGTTGTAGAGCTACCGAATTGTGTGTGCCCATAACCGAGTGCGGTCACATTGCTATGGGGCACATCGTACTGGGTCCAGAGGCAAGCCGGAGTTACACTGAAAATAAAAAAAATTATTTATAAACAAATTCCAAGCAAGTCTACGGCTTCCGTTTTACCAACCTTGCATCTTGCGCCAATTCCAGCAAGGCAATGTCATTATACGAAGCGCCACTTCTATAAGCTGGATGTACGATAATGCGCCTGATGGGTAGGTTCGGCGTGTTCGGATCAGTTAAGTTCGTGCCACCGATGCGTACAGCCGTGGGCGTTTGCCTGAAAATAGCGAAAATGTGGTTTTAAAGTGTAAACGTGATCCGCTGAACTTAGACCCGCACACACTTCTTGGCCCTCTCTCTCTCCCTCTCTCCCTGTCTACACAATCTTACCCGCCTAAACCGGTGCAATGCGCTGCTGTTAAGATGAATTTCGGTGATATTAAAACGCCGGCGCAGTAAAAGAATGTGCTACTTTTATTGGTATTCGATAGCCAGCCCACTGCGGCCTGGAAATACGAGTAAATAATGTAGAAAATTTGCATATAAATATTTCAAGAGTTTTGAATATTCTAATTTGCAGTTTTCTAGTTGCGTTTACCATATAGGGAAATTCTCTGGACCCCGCTGGCTGGCCGTTTGCCACGGCTATATGAAAGCTACCTTGCTGAGATTCACATTCTGTTGGTGGGGAGAGAGAATATACGTTAAATATTAGAAAACAAATAAAAATAATTCTAGTTGCATTAAAATATTGCAAAAGGTTAAGGAAAGTAAACTCTATTTCTTCATCTGCAGGATTCGTCGTTGCCGAAGGGACCCCACATTTTACGATAAACTTTTCTTCGCAGACTTCCAAGACCGAAGCATCTGATGTCCACTCTTTTGTACCATATAGCAGAACGGGAATGATAAACGATAGATAAACGTTATTCTCTACGACTACAAAGTTATGGGTGTCAACAGTGACCTGAGAGGCAAGCCGTAAGACTCGTTTACTATCAAATTCATTCGTTTCTCTTCTTTATCAAGGCTGCAGTAAGCTGAACTAATGGTGTGGTTGTTATGGTCTAAGAAATCAATGTCATCAGTACACGTCAGCAGTTGTACACTCTTGTAAAAGACTGTTCCTTCTCTATTTAGCTCTGCAGCTTACACGATGAAGAGTCTCTCTGAATGAAAATTCTGAATGGCTCGGAGTGGTCCTCTCCGATCTTGACGTAGTTATAAAATTTGGAAATAACGATCTATAGTGTTGTCCATGTCTGTTTCAAAATCGATTTCGATAGAGTCTAAGATCTAGCGTATGCTGAACATCTATTAATGATGGATTTTCTAGGTCTAAAGCCACACTGATAAGGTCCTATCAGCTTGTTGACGATGAGCTTTAGTCTTTCACAAAATATACTCAATAGGACTTAGAAGGCTAATACCAAGTTAAATGGCATAGACCGTCGGGCATGCTTTCATACAATCATATTTTGCCGTGTAATGGAACATCTTTTATATACTTTATCATTCCTGGGTGTTGCGCATTCACTGCCATTCAACAACCTTGAAAAGTGCTCCATGCAAACACCAAGAATGCTCTGGACATCGGTCACCAGATTTCTACATTGGTTCCTACATGAGTATCCCCCGGCCTTCTGTGAGAATCTTTTCAGAGAATTTTCGCGAATTACCCTTGCTGGTCATGTGAAGTCATTTTTTACGTAGATGCATATACAGATAGACGATTGGCGCATTGAAAGAGACTATTATGCCCCAATTGTGGTGGTCACTTGTTTGTAAACTGACCTTGAGCTACACTAAAAGCTCCGTCAGGATTGGGAAGGACCTCTCCGAGCCGTTCGATACCAAACGAGGTTTCAGATAGGGTGACCCTTTATCGTGCGATTTCTTCAATTTGATGCTGGCGGGAATTTTAAGAGCTGCAGAGCTAAATAGACAAACTACAATCTTTTTAAAGAGTGCAAAACTGCTGACATATGCCGATGATGTTGATATCAATGCCTGAGCAAATGCGTCGTTAGTTCTGCTTTCTCCAGACGCCATAAAGAAGTAGAGCAAATGGGTCAGGTAATGAATGAGGGCAGGACGAAATATTTCCTGTCATCAAATAAACAGTCATCGCATTCGCGACTCGGCTCCCCCGTCACTGTTGACAGTCAAACACTCGGGGTTGGTGTTAATTTCGCCTATCTAGGGACCAGCCTTGAAATCCAATGCAGAATCACTTTTGGTGCAGGTGCTTCTTTGGACTGAATAACCATTTCAGAGTAAAAGTCCTCTCTCGAAGAACAAATACCAAACTGCAAGTCCCTCATCGTTCCTGTCCTGCTATATGGTGCGGAAGCATGACCGATCTCAACAGCTGATGAGTCGGCTTTGGGAGTTTTCGAGAGAAAGGTTTTGCATAAGATTTATGGTCCTTTGCCCGTCGGTAAGGCTAGGTCATGTGAGTTTTTTGAGTTTTCTTTCTTCTTGAAAGCCACCTGTCCAAAAAAGTACCCTTTCCAAGTGAATGTAGTTAAATCATAAATAGTCAAAATCCAATCCAGGCCGAAATAACTGTATTTACTATGTAGCACTAATATGTACGTGTATGTGTAAATATGTGGAAAAATATGGAAAATCGCGTATTGCATTTATGCATAACAAAAGATATGTAGTTCATGGCGCAACACTTGTCGTCACACACAACCAATTGAATTTAATTATGAGCATTTAAACAAAGACAATTATTTTATTACACGCTGTTGATAAGGATCAGCGCAATTAAAGGGGAAAATTGGAGAAATGGGAATGTGCATGGGCAGGCATCTTTCTAAATCACAGTCAAGATGACTTTAAGACTTAAATGTAGATAAATTAAATTATTTTGTTTGTGCCACATGATTTGGCATAAATATTTATGGAGAGCAAAGGTTAAAGCATAGACAAAAGGGAATAGGAAAGAAGAAAGGATAAGACAGATATTAAAGGTTTAAGAGGAAACTCATAGAAAACTGGCGTTTTGTTACTGCTGAAGTGATTTTCGGTTGAGTTCTTTCTCCGATTTGTGGTGAGTGTTTTGATGTTTTTCCAACAAACAAGTTCTAGCTGAGGTCGGTCAGAAAAATAGGAGTTGTTCTAACGTCTCACTCAGCTCTGTTCCACTCTCCACTTTTTAACAGCTTGTGGCCCGCCATTAAGCCAAAAACTGTCCTGTATTTGTTGAGAGACTGCGTAAGCAAGAAATTCGTGTTTACTTGGTACTATTGCATATGTCTTGATGGTTTCGAATGTGTCTCTCTGATTCGGTACTCAGTTCTTTCAGAAACTTCATCATACATCGTTTTCAGCGACCCTTGGACTTCCTTTACTGGTTCGCTAGCTAGATGGATGACCTTTTTGGCAATCTTATCAGCTATTCCGTTGCCTATAATGCTTTTGTGGCCTGGAACATAGTATATATGCAGCCGTTGACCTTCATCCGCACGTCTACTGCTGTCCTGTTTCTTAAAACATTTTCTGAAGCAATCGTCGGGCTATCGTTGTATGGATTGATATATTTTCGTATAGTATTCAGCATTAGTAGCTTAGCAGCTTTTCCACTAGCGAAGATTTGCGTCTGGAAAATACTCTGGAAGCTGGAAGAGCTGCCTGAGATCTTGTTAAGTGCGTGGGACTCCGCCATCCGCTACATTTTTGAACCATCCGTGTTGATGTTGTGCTGTTCCACTTTCTTGCGCCAACCGCTCTTCTTAAACCTAGCTTGCAACCTTCTTTTTTTCCAGATGAAGCGTGAGGGCTTGTGGTCTATTTTGTCCATCAACACCCCGCTTATCGAGCTGTGCCCGAAAGTTGTAGCTGAAAATTCTGCATCTGCAGCGCTCACCACTCGGTTCGGTCTCATTATGTTGGCTGACGTCGCCCAACAATGTACGACTCTTAGAGCGCTTATACAGAGTAGTGGTGACAGAATACCACTCTGAGGAGTTTCTCAATGCGCCTACCTGAACTGGTTCTAGACTTTCCGCAATTGTCACATAGGAGAAATTATTAAATGCACCACTGAGGTCAAAAAAGACTACTGAAACATATTTTATATGCTTCAGAGTTCTTTCTATTTTCATGGTTAGTGAGCGAAGTGCAGTCTAAGTGGATCTACACTTCGTATAAGCATGTTGACCGACGGTAGCTTTACTATAATGCAGGCGCCCAGAGCCCTTTCAAGGTCTTCAGAGGGTATGAAGTTGGTCAAATTTGTTTGTATTGCTTCAAATGAGACAGGCGAGCTCTCCGAAAGAATTATACATAGTTTGTGAGAAATATGGAGAAAATAATACGATATTCAGCAAAGCAAATGAGCCTGGTAATGAATGTGAACCAGACAAGAATTTTAACCTACATAACAAAGAAATTTGTATGATATTAAAACTGGATCCATTGAGATAACTCGGACGGAATTCGGGCAAAAATGTTTTCAACCCTTTCCACAGCAACGGAAGTCAGTACCGAGGACGAATGGAGGATGGGCCATGCCTCTCTTAAATCCGTTAAGTTCGAAAAACGTGTTTTCAAACCCCCAAAATAGAAAATAGTAAAAATAACTCACTCACCCAGCTCACTACGCCTCTTGACCCGCATCGGTTTCATATACAGAATCGGCTCCAAAATGGGACTTCTTTCAATGTCGCAGCAAACAATATGTTCGAATTTATTGAAATAACAGGTTTGCGGACGAATATTTTGATTTTTCCAACGCCTCAGCGCCGAACCACATTCGGCGAGATTCTTGCAAATGCCACGCGTTTTCTTTGCGGCATCCACAAAGCACGAGTCATCATAGTTTTCCATCGGAAATTGAATGCCACGTAGAGTTTCCTGTGCAAGGCCTGAAGGGGAAAATGATTTTGTAGAAGAAAATATAATTAATTTTATGAAATAATTAAATTTTATAAAACAAACTGTTTGCGACTTGTTTGCACATTTTTTTCTTCTTCTTCTTTTTCTTTTTTTTTCTACTGCAACTCACAATTTTCACAAATGCAACTGGCGAGCAAAGCGATTGCAAAAATGATGCGCCACATTCTAGCACTGTTTCTTCAGAATATTTTTCTTTTTGTTATTGTATTAATTAGATGCGTTTGTGTATGTATGCATACGTGTATATACCGGCTACGCAGCCTCAATTTGATCAAAACGTCTAACCGAATATTCTTAGTTGTGTCGCGATACGCGTCTCAGCAGCAACTAAATCGACTTTTATCTCAACATCGGACTTTTACTAAGCACAAATCCATCCTTCTACTCTGCGCTTGCATACTGCGAACAAACATATGTACATACATACATACAAGTATAAATACGCAAAGAATTCTAGCTTCACTTCAATGGATCTTCATCGGGCATACAAACTGGATTTGTTATGTTTATTTATTGGTTTGTTTTGTTTTCAATGTCAAGAGCCTGCTCGGTCCAGCCGGGAAGTCGATTTCAGCTCTTGTTCTTGCTACTCTCTGTCATTTCTTGTTATCACATTTAGGAGGCTACTCATGAGCTGAGAAAAAATTCTGGTCATCTTTCGAACAACAACAGCTTTTGTTTATATTTTATGTAAAATCAAGTTGGTTGTTGGTTGGTTGTTAAATTAGCGCAGTCGAGAGTCGAATGAGGTTTTCACGCGCACACACACACACACACACACACACACACACACACGTGTACTTTGAGTGGCACGCGATCTCAGAGACATAAGACATTATTGTCAAACGCTACTCGTTGATTCATTGACCGCTTGGGGCTCGTACATATGCACTTATATGGCCATATATTTGCTTATTTATATACTAAAGGCGTATGTGTATATGTGTGACAAAGTTGGCAGACGAGTAGGCGCACTACTTTAGTCGGCGGATGTGCATAATTTTGGTGCCACATCCTCTCTTTGCAATCTTCTTTCCATTCACCATAAACAAAACTGTAAACATACATAGAAGTATGTATTAGTATGTATATTAAGGCCAGAAAGTTTCCGGATATTGTAGTTTTTTTCGATTTGGTTCATTATGAATTCGTTCGAACGGGACAATTGGTCAATAAAGAGTATTTATTAAGCGTTTTGGGGCGTTTGCGCGAAAACATCCGTTGTAAACGGCCGCAATTGTGGGCCAACAACTTCCGGAAACTTTCATGACGATAATGCGCCATCGTACCGAGCTTTGGTTGTGAACGATTTTAAGACCAAAAACTCGTTCAATGCCTTCGATTAGAAACCACCGACGAATTTGGCCCAATGCGATCTTTGTTTTTGCTTTCAAAACTCAAGTTAACAGAGGCTGAGGCTGTAAGAGAAAAATCGCAGAGGGAACTTAGTTTAATTGATTTCAACAGCTGCTGCATACAAACTGGTAGATAGATCGCGCTCATTTTTGGCATAGTAATTGAGGACAGTGCAAAAAAGTGCTGAAAAATATTCAACGCGGGCAGTTTAAATGCCAACTTCCAGAAACTTTCTGGTCTTAATGTATGTATGTTTGTACATATCGCTTAAAACGTCATACCTCAAATGTTTTCAATATCATGCTTTTTTTTTAAACTAGTCCCCAGAACACAGCTCGGAGGACTGAAAACAATTATTTAAACCACCGTCTTTCCTAAATGGGAAAATACCACTATGCTTGCTTTTATTTTCTTGTTGTTGTAACCGCAAAAAATCTTCCCCAAAGTACTTTTTGGGGAATGTTGAGTGAGTGACAGTTCTTGGCCGGCTAAAAATCCGGTTGGTTCCGGTATAAAGAGCCGACTGTCGCGGTAACTATTGGATTATAGTCGCCTCTTACAACAGGCATGTCTTACCGTGGGTAAATTCTTGAACCGCTAACCCTCAGGGGGTATGCTTGCTTTATCGTATTCGCCTCTGCCTCTGCTGAATATTTCAGTTTTTTTTTGAGTTGCAACCTTTTCTGATTTCGCTTCGGCAAGTTCTTTTAGTTTGGTGGGTCTCACAGGCTTTAAATCTTTGTTGATACTAAAGAACCTATAACTCCAATTAGTGGTTTTGCATCTTGATGTTTTATCCAGTAAATGGAGGGGCCCACAGTTTATACCAAGCCGCCTCCAAACGGCTGATGGTTTTTTATGAGGAGCCTTTATTTCATGTCCGAAATACACTCGGAGAGGTTGACATTCCCTGCCGAGGGGCGACCGCAGTTAGAAAATTTAGCTCAATATTTTATTTAAGTTAATTTTATGTAACTTTTGGATGTTGGTCGCACGGGGATTTGAACTTACACCTTCCGAATGGCAGTACACAATGCTAACGACTCGGTTACCTCGATTCGCACCATAATCATCCAAAACGTGAAATGTTTGCAGTCGTACGATCTTTGACAGTTCTTTTTGCTCAGATGCGTCTATCCGTCTAAGGCGGTGTAGTAAGCTTAAGAGATTATAATCAAACTGACAAAAACCTTCTTTTCACTGTTCGACACCAATTGGAAATCCAACGTAGGTGGAGGTCTTTCTCTATCTCTGATCTCAACGGCGGGTACTGCAATGAAAACTTTCATAGCTTTCTTGATTGGCTGAATTATGGGGTATATCTTGTACAGCTTCTCGTTCTACTGTCTGCGGTATACGCCGTTTCCAACGGGCAGACATAAGTCTTATTCAAAACCTTTCTCTCGAAAACTCCTAACGTCGACTCATCAGATATTGTCATCATCCTTGAGTCCGCACCATATAGCTGAACAGGTATGATGAGCTACTTGTAGTACTTAATTCAATGTAGCAGCTGTGGGCAAGAGTGATTATGCGTCAGATTTCAAGGCTGACATTGTTAATGGTGTTGATGTTGGTTCCTAGACAGACGAAATTATCTACGAATTCGAACTTATGACTGTTAACAGTGACGTATGAGCCGGGTTCTGAATGCGATGACTGTTTGTTCTACGGCGTGGTTATTGGAGTCGATGGCATCAATAAAATCGACATATGCCTTGTCACCTTGTTTGAAACCTAATTTGATATCCCAATGGATATTGACGGACCTTATGAAATTATAAATTTCTTATACAGTTAATAATCTTTGTGATGAGGCGCTACAGATGTAGAGCATCCCTAATGATATATATTGCTCCATGTGGCAGTTTCAACATGGGTAACTCTGTAAGTTAAAAAAATTTCATGTACAACCTTCTCATTCCCGGCACTTTTGGATCTCCTCTCGCTAAGTAATAAGCCGAAGGCATACATGCCAGTATACCGTACAACAGACAAACACAGATATGGACGTGTGATTACACTTTTATTTCTGCATAATTAAATATGAGTGGGAGTTGCAGTTGGTGGTTTTCCATTTTCTGTACTCTAAATGATATGCAATTAAGATGTTGGAAAACAAAAGGAAAGTTGCATTTTCCCCTAAAACAATAGATAATGCAAATCGTTAGTGCTGGTGTTGAAAACAATTTAATTGTGTGATATTTAAAAGTTGCTAAAGTGAGATAACGATGCAATTTTGTAGATACGTATGTCTGTAAAGACATCTCTTCTTCTTCTGTAAATATTTGAAAGTACTTGTATCCTTGTATTATGATAATTATGTAGGTGCTTTGTAAGTTTCAGTAAAATACCATTATTATCGCGCGTGAGTCGCTTGATAGGCACAAAGATTTTGTATTGCAAGCCTTTGATTTAAAGCAGTTTTGCTTCATTGAGCTTAAATTGTGCTTTCAATATAGCATAGTTGAGATTATTATAAGAAAAATAATTAGTAATAAAAAGGTTAAAAATTGTAATAAATAATTGTTATTTTTGAACACATCATGTCAAATTATCACAACGCATCACATCGGAATATCACAACACATTACTTTATCATGTCACCAACTCATCACAAAAAAGTCACATCAGTTGATATCAACAGTTCATATTATTATCAAAGAAACGTCGCATCGACTCGTCACAAAATTTAACATGACATCATACCAACATATGACATCACATGACATGATATCACATCAAATCAAGATATCACGGAGTCTCACATTCACCTATATCACAGCACAACACCACACTGCGTATCACATCAACAGATTACATAATATTACATCGGAATATCACAACACATTACTCCATCCTATCACCAACTCATCACAAAAATGTCACATCAGTTGATATCAATAGTTCATATTATTATCAATAAAACGTCGCATCGACTCGCCACAAAATATAACATGACATCATACCAACATGTGGCATAACATGACATGATGTCACATCACAACAAATATAGATATCACGGCATCTCACATTTACATATCACAACACAACACCACACTTCGTATCACATCAATAGATTACAAAGCTTCTCATAATATCACATTGCATCATATCGGAATATCACGAAACTTGGCATGATATCACATTGCATCATATCAGAATATCACAAAACTTGGCATGATATCACATTGCATCATATCAGAATATCACAGCACCACCATATTCAAATAAATATGACACAACACAGCATTCCATGTCATATCAATCACATCCTTAAAAAAACACATCACATCAATACATCACAGTACATTATTTAATATCACTTCTTGTTGACATCACTTCTTGTTGGACCAGCACATCACTCTAAACCATATCAACATAATACGTCATACCAGCACATAATCAAATATTGCATTCTATCACTTCACATTATATCAATATCGTATCATGTAAACAACGTACAACAGTTTATGTCACAATGTCACAAAGAATTTAATTTTAATATTAATGCTGTATTAGCTTTCTGTCAATTTCAGATCACATCTCATCAGTACATCGCAACATCATCATCTTACTCATAATCGATCTTATAGCACAAACACAAAATAGTGCTAGCTTGAACTTTCTAAAGGCAAGGTAAATTTTCAATATTTTGTATGAATTAATATTAATTTAAAACAATTTTTCTGAACTTTTGTCACCGACATATTATTAATTTTTAGTTATAAGTTTTTAAGTGAGCTTAAGGCCTGGTTTATTTTCAAAAACAAAAATTAAAATGTTTTCTCTGACTTCTATAGTGGGACTTAATGAGAAATATATATGATATGAAACCTTTAAACACGTGAATTCCATTTGAAAATTTATTTATTTTTTTGGAAAATTGCTTTAATTTGCCACGCCATGACTCTAACAGGTATTTGCATCACTTAAAATGCAATGGTCAGAGCTGCATCCCCATGGGAGTAGACACTTCG